CTTTTCTGGGAGAAAGCCCCAATTAACTATATAATAACTTCCGATGCAAACCGGAAGTTGCGTTATTTCAATTAAAATCTTCCCCTGGAAGGTGTTAGAGATATGACTGGCACAACTGTAAGTATTGTTAAAGGAAAAGTGTGATGTACCGGGGGCAAGTCCCTACTAATTTGAGGTGGAGAGGATATATTTTAAATTAAAGATATTATTAGAAATTGCAGTCCAACATTGTGACAATGTCACAATTAACAATTGCTTGTTTTTAAAGAAAACCATTTGGTAAATAATATATTATGATAAACTCATATTAGCATCGCTGTCTGTGAAGTCGTCTTTAAGTATTGACGTTAACCAATGGTCAATTTTGTCCTCAGAGAAAGTTACACACCATATTAATTGTTAAATTTCACTATATACTTCATTTTAAGATTTCAGTTTTTTTTCACTGTACATGCGTTTATTATCTGTATACGCATAAATTGTTTATATATGTACAAAAATTTATTTCACATTTATGTATATATGTACAAAAAACTTATTCCATACTTATGTATATAACTGGTAAAAAAAAAACTGGTAACTTATAAAGTATGACCGGACTTTGGATACATGAGTGTCGCTAAGGCCGACAATGGCCGGCGACGGGTGAGCGGTGGGATTCCCTCGGACGTGACATTTACCTTTCTATACCGAGGACTTGACCTTTACACACTTATAAAGTATGAAAGGACATTGAATATCTGAGTGTCGTTATGGCCGAGAACGGCTGGCGACGGGACAGCGGCGGGTTTTCCCTCGGACATGACATTTTTTTTGAATATTCGAGGACTCGATTTTTTTAATATTTATATATAAACTGATACTCATTTTTATGTTTATTATGAGTTAACATTTTTTATATAAAAGCAATTTAAATTTATATTACCAAAATTAATTTATATAGTTTTTTAGTTTTATTATAGCATAGACAGTAATTATCAAAGTAATACAGAAATTTATAGAAGTGCATCCTGTAATTTTTTTCGGCAGCGTTGATTTTGGGTTTTGAGTATTACGAAGTACTTGTGTGGGCCGACAGTATTTAAATACTCAAAACATTGAAAGAATGAGTAATTATATGGCGCCAAATTGTAAATGTAAATTTTTAGATGAAATTCGCCGGATGGAATCGGATTCGCTACGTGCAACGCGCGCTCAATTAAGACTATCGCGTATAACTATTTACTTTACGATAACGAGCTTTGACTAACGCGAGTATGGAGAATCGTCAGTAGTACTGGATTAAAGTAAATGCATTAAATTCTACTGGTTCAGTAGAAGTTAATTCATTTATTATTTATATTAAAGGTACTAGTTACCATATCTAAAATATAACTTGCTTGTAAGCGTGACGTCCGCAAGCAGGATGGCGACCGGAACTGCCGTCGTTGGGTTTCCACATTTGGGGTGCGTTTTTTTATTCTTCCTCGTAACTCCGAGCGAGCGTCATTTGTTAAAAAATTTCTGCGGAACTGGTTTTTAAATTCTGGTCGGAGTGCGCGCCGTCGAACGTCAAAAACGACCGTTTGTAGTAGTAGTTTCTCGTAAAACAAGATGGCTTCATCCAGGGCCGGATTAACCCACTTTGGGGCCCTAGACATTTTCTTCTTACGGGCCCCCCTTTCTCACACTAGAAATAGAGCACACAAAAAATATAAAACAATAAATAAAACAAAACTAAATAATGTGAAAAACTAAAACAAATCTTAAATTTTTATTANATTTACGAAAAATCTCGAAATGGAGAGAAAAATAACTCACAATTTCCAGAAAACTTTCTATTTCAAGATGGCGTCAGCAATACGAAATCGAGCGAATTCGAATTGTTGGAACGTGCGATAAATGCGTCACACGTTACGTCATAAGTTCTACGTCAGAATATTAACTAATTGCAAATATTTTCTTTAAAATGCTAAAATAGACCCTCTTTTTTGTAAAATATATTTGTAATAATAAATAACATTATAAAAACGTATTCCGTAACCTTACAGATTACAGGCCACAAATCTAGATTTAAAGCGTATCTAATTTAAATTATTTAATTTTGATATAAATAGAAAAATAGTAAGTTACTTACGTTACGCGAGTTTTCATTATTAAAATTTGTACGAAAAATGTTAAAATGGAGGGAAAAAGAACTCGCAATTTCCGGAAAGCATAAAATTCCAAGATGGCGTCGGCAACAATACGAAATGGAACGAATTCGAATTTGTCGTTGCAATGCGTCACGCGTTACGTCACGAGTTTTACGTCATAGATGTAATATTTCGAGTATTTTAATTGCATTTTTTTAAAAGGAAAGTTTATTTTTAACAAATTCTTTTGTCTCGGATTTGGCAGAATATTTGTTAAATGTAAAACTTCGCTAAAAAGAAAATTTATTCAAATTACATTACGAGTGGTTGGGGTTTGATTGGAAACAATTGCTTCCACTATTGTAAGATCGGGAATTTACAACATATTTCATACAACTGAAAGTTTTAATTTATATTGCTACAATATTTTCTTAACTGTGAAAGAATGGGTAAACGCACTTCCTTCTTGCGGATTGATTGTGTAATTTATATAATAAACAACAACCCAGCACATTTCTATTACCAAATGATCTGTTAGATTATCTATTGGGTTATGTTAAACCTAATAACTAATTATATAACAAATCAATTTGGCTAGAGGTGGGTGCTTTAGCTGCTCTCCTAATAAATTTAATAATTAGAATTAAATTAATGTTAAATTTAGAATATTCTGAAAGGACATTGTCCATTGTCTATCCCAAAGGATATTGTCCAAAGGAAATAATTGTCTAGAATGGGACTCAAATCCACAACTGCTGATTAAAGATGCATTGCAGGTTACACTACCCAGATTCTATATGATTTTTATTTCCAAAATGGTTAGTGAATTTAGATATAAGTACAGTTGGTCACTTAAAGTTGTGTTGTTATTGTTGTTTTTTTGTTTTGTTTTATTAAAGAATAAAAAAAAAATATTCCTAGAAAAACACTACTGTATTCTAATCTGTTTAATAGTGGAATCTGATGTTCGGAGGTAATATCCTGGAAATGTTTAACAGATCATTTTTATTTATGAATTAAACACCTTGATAATATGTTTTTTTTTTTTTGTTTGCATGAGTGCTTTTCATTGGATATATTGTTGTGTATATACCCGTACCTATTATTGTTAACTAGATGCATTTTTAAGGAATGCAAATGTTTTCTTAGCTTTTAGGCAAAAAATAATAAATACGAAATGTAAATTGCGTGGTAATTTTAGCCATAGAAAATAACCGACAAATATAAATTTCGATTAATTAAGTATTATAAATATTTTGTCACATTCACAACCAAAATGCCGACCCGAACAAATGTCCGGGTTGTCCGCCCCTTGAGCGGGCCCTGTACGTATGTAATATATAAACTATAACGAAGAATAAGAGATTTAAAGTATTTGTTGGTATTCATTTTGCTTTAACGATTCGATTGGAAAATTAGCAATGAAAAGACCGCTTGGCTCCCCCAAAATAAACGAAAAGATCCCATTTCTCTGAAGGAAACCGATCAATTCTTATTAAAAACTACCGCCGCTAATTGTGATATTTGCTTATCTGTTGTGTCCGTAAAATAAACGATTACTTGTTAACGTATATAATTAACAAACGTAACTTTGTGCCTCCAAGTCTAAGTGTTACTATAGCTAACGCACAACTGATCGGAGACAAAGGAACACGACAAAGGTCAGAGGTGAGGGATCGCCTAAGTCAAGTGGCAATTCAGTGTGGGTTATCTCACCGAGGTTTACATACATAACATTATCAAAGTCAAAAAGTACTTAAATGTAGACAGATCGTAGTCCAAACTTACTTATAAATTGCTGCAAATTAAGAAGAAAAATGTAGAAAGCACTCGCAATAAATAATCGCACGAGCCGTCAATAGATCTTCTCTCAATAACGAGAATATTTTATCGTTGCGTAGAGACTCAATTTAATGTTAAAAATTTGGATTTTGTAATGAATTTAGTCATCTCTGTCTGTAAAGAATGACATTTCGATGGATCATTGCACGATTTTGTCTCGAGCCTTCAACTCGTCCACACAGAGACCAGCTGCTATAATCATATTAGAGGGAACAACGGTAGAATCTTGCAATTCAAAATTAAAGCAAAGCAATATAAAGCAAAAACAAAAAATGGACCGCTCAATGACGACAGCTCCTTTTCACAACCAAATTCATTTATCTATTCAATAAATATTGATTGTGATCTTAGACAACTTGATTATCATCACATTATACAGTGTGGTTATAATTAAAGTCGCGCTACTCAGACCTGTCTAGAGCCCGTTCTTGTGGACGTATTTTGATGAAACTTGGCATATATGTTATATGGACCGCGGGGAAAAGGAAAAACGCAAAAAAAGAAACGTTTAGTTCGAATTTTTACCACTAGGTGAAAAATGGCGCATGAAGAACAAGAAACGCAAAATGGAAACACGCAAAAGATTTTTATTTACAACATTTGTTCAATATGCAATCCATTTGCATCAATTACGTGTTCAAAACGCTTTACAGCAAATTCCCAGGAATTTTTCGGGAGGTGGTCCGTCGGGGAATGTCGGGCCCCGTTTCTCACCACCCGGTCGCCCCATTGTGGGCCTGGCCGAACTCATAATGGGCTTGCTAAAAAGAGGTCCTGTTAGTGCCCACAGGACAGAAAGACTTAAAAAAAAAAAAAAAATGGAAGCACGATGCATAGCCACCTAGCGGCTATATTAAATTTATTTAAAAAAATGTTTAAATTAAGATATATGTAACTTTTATATTTAATATTTTTATATTTTATAATATATTAATTAGTTAAAATGCTAATTAAATACAACAAAATAAATATTTTCTGAATATAAGGTTAAATTAGTCATACATTTAAATTAAATTTTTGCGCAGGCGTAATACAAACGATAATGTCTGCATTGTAGAGGGCTCTGGTTTTCCTGCTCCGGTCTGCTACGAGTTTTTGTGGGCGTAAAAGATTCAATTCTTTTAACGAATTGGTATTTATTTACGGTATATTTTGTAACTATTTTTAATTATTTTCAATTGTCAGAGGCTTTATATTTAATTAATGTTTATATAAGAGGTATTTAATTAATAATTGAACTAATTCCTCGGTAGGCTTAAGCTGTTTGATTTAAAATTCTGGTGTGGCTAGAAAAGTGGAAGTAATTTATTTAAATGCTTAGCTCTATTTTGAAATCTCGTTGTGTTTCGAAAATAATACCAACGTTTACATCGTTTTACTCAAAAGAGTTTTCGTGAATTTAAATTTTTATTTAAGTGAACCTGAATAAAATTGATGTCTGTATGGTAGGTGTTATGAAGTAAAATTCTTTGAACAGTAATTAATTATTGGGTACATATCATTGTCAAGCAAGCTGCTTTATTAGGAAAATCAAGCAAACAAATGATCTGTCATTGGTTTGCTTGCTTATCTGCTTGACAAGAAAACATGCCATTGTTTCTGTATTGTAGTAAGGCAGCTATCATGATATGGTGATCCTTACCATATCTAAATTGCTTTTACTTTCCTGGTTATCATGTATACGTAACAAGGGAAAGTATTGGAATCGTGTCAAATTTGACCCTCTGAGTTTTTTGCAAATCTCCATGTTTTGAGATCCCAGAGCCCTAAAAAAGGTAAAAAAGAAACTGAAAAAAGTCTGTGTGTGATAAAAGTTTAAAATCGTTGTCTTTCGGTGTTAATAAAATGCCAAAAGATGATCATAAACTTTTATCTGATAAAAATCTTGTATGACAAAATTTTTTTTATTGTGTGTGTTTTGGTGTCTATTTTGCATAATATCTCAGGATGGGGTAAAAATTAAGTAACAAAATTTGGTATGGTGGCTTGTATACAAAGGGCATTGATGCTATTAAATTTTGGTGATTAAAGGTTCAGGGGGTTGGGAGATAAAGGGGGTCGTGTGTATCTCCAGTAAGGTCAGACTTAATGATGATTTTACTCGTTATTAACCTTTATACTATTATTTTTTTAAATAAAAACCATCCCAATCCTCAAAATTAAGCTTTTTGCTACTTTATAGTAATTAAAATTATTAAAAAATTTTTATAACAAAATCTCATAACATTTGCTACATGCAATTTTATTATATTGTAATTAAAATTATAAAAGTTATTTTCTAAATAAAATCTTATAATAGCCAGGAAAGTTATGCAACTTGTTGCTGGATTTTTTTCCATAGCAAGGAAAGTCAGATTTACTTACACATTTTTCGATTTCTGTATGTTAAATCTTTAAAGGTGTTTCCCGAAATAACATTTCTACAGGAGGATTTATAGTCTTTAAGTATGTAAAAAAGTGCACTGTGTATAAATTTTCTTCACCCAACAAAGCATTTTGGTTGAACTGTATATTAGAGTGGCTTTTGTGATATGGACATAATCTTCAGTTGCCATATATACTTAAATATTCTTTTAATGTATTTCAGATTTTGTTGTTTTTAAGGAACACTAAATATTATTTTGACTAATGCTATTCAAATTTAGTAAAATATGCTCATTCTTGAAATTAGTTTACTGTATTTTGGGATAAAACTGAAATTTTTTTTTTACTTGCTAATGATTCTTTTTGTAAAGTTCTAATTTGAAATTCTTAATGTGGGATATGAATAGTAATTTAGATACATAAATTTAAAATATTAATTATATACAAAATAAATAACCTGTGTATAGTGATTTTCATATTTTCAACCTAATTGATTTTTTAAGAGTCATTGTAAGTTGATTTTTATTTTGTAGATCTACTGCTGTCAGTTTTATAGATGCATTTTATATATATATATATTTTATAGTAATAATAATCTTCTAGCTTAGGTTTCTAAAAAATGGTTTTATTTCTTAGTACAGTAGAGCGTCGATTATCCGAATCAATTGGGGACTGGGGTGGTTTGGAAAATCGATATTTTGGATGTACGAAAAAATATATTAATTTATCCCATGTTGAAATTTTTCTTTGTTGCATGTCGCTTCGCGTTGAATTTTCATCGATGTTAAGCCTAACGAAGACTATTGTATCGTTAAAAATTATTTTTTTATTTTGTACAAACAAAATAAATATATTGAAAAATATAAAAACAATAAAAAATTATACTTCAGAAGTTAATTTAGTATAAAAACATAAAATATTTGAGTAGCCCAAGATATAGCCAAAGATTGCAGCGTCACAGCACTGGTGAAAATTTAAATTTGCTGACTGGAATTCTTTCGGATAATCGACACACTACTGTATTTAATTATGTAATACAATGATAGAAATGAAAAAATAAAGTGCTCGATTGATTGGTAGTCAAAAATATGCATGGATAAATATTATGTATTTGTAAAGTAAATATTAACTTGAAAATGTTTTTAAAATTCATCATTGAACTGAATAAAATTGCATTAAATTTTTTTACCAATAACACTATACCTTACACACTTTTCTAGCAATAGTTTTAGTTTTAATTAAACTATTGCTAGAAAAGTGTGTAAGATATAGCATTATTGGTATTTGTTTTCAGTTTTTTGTGTGTGTAGTTTCTGTTTGTTTTTCAATAATTTTTCTGGTCTAAGTTAAATATATAATTTCAAGCATGTGAGAAAATTTTCATAACTTGCATCTTATTGAGATCACAATAAATAAATAAATAAATATAATGTAAATAAATCTTTATTACATAATAATTTTAAAATTTAATAATATATATATTATAGACTTATTACTTTTGCTGTTATTAGTTTGTTTTCTGAGGATTTTCCACAGACTAGTTCCAGGTTAGGGACTACTGTGAAATATTGATCTAAACAATCATACACACTTTTCATGATGTAAATAAGTCTATTATTTTAATGGAAATCATGTAATTTTTCCATTTGAGTAGAATTATATTTTAAAAACTTAATAGATATTTTATTTTCAATATAAAGCTGTTAATTCTACTAATTACATGGCTTACTACAGAATTTTATCGATATTGTAGGTAAAGAAAAATTCAAGGCAGTATAGCTTGGATTCTCAATAGCTCTTTCATATTCTTCTACCTAAGTATTTTTGATATTTGGCTTATAAGGGTAGACAAAACAGCAAAAGTCTGATCTGAATAGAAGACAATCACCTTAAGTAATCTTACTAATTTTCTCCCTGTTCAAATATTTTTGATTTCAAATCGATTTTCAATATCTATTAAAATGCCTTATTTAGTATTGTTGATTAATAATTTTCTGCTCCATTCTGCATTTTCTGTGTAACTAGATTTAGTCTTTTATTTTACTTTATATATGTTCATTAAACTTATTTATGAAAAGCAAATATGTATTAACTGGAAGCTTGCTTTATATGATCATAATAAAATTTTAAAGACTTCATAATTTTAGTGACATCTCTTATTATATGACAGTTCAAAATTATTTGATATTTCATCAGCAACTATATTATATCATTTCCCTAACAATCTTAATAATTACTGATATAATAGGACTGAAATTTAAGAACTGTGAAGCTAAATAAGATTTGGTAGAATTCTGTAATATATATTTGTTTTGAGTATATGAAATCTTTATAATGTTACAACAGTAATAGTTAATAATAGCAAGTGATTATATCATCATCTGTCTAATCTCACTCAATCAAAACAATAATTGAAATGAAGTAAAGTGATTATTGAAACAAAATTAAAATTTATGATTTGTTTTGGAAAGTTTTTAATATTTCTTAAAAGAAATGTCAATATATAAGGGACTAAACTCTATTTTAAAAATTCAATATTTATTTTATAGTTGTAACATTAGTAAGTTTATTTCTCTAAAGAAGGTTAGAATGTTTTAATTCTTTTATGATTACCTAGATTTTCATTTTTTGAATCCAGAATTCATAGACAAATCCAAACGAGCAATTATTTATTGTGACATCTTCACAATGCTGGGCTGCAATTTCTAATATATGCTCTCCACCTCAAATTAGTACTGTAGTGTCTTGCCCCTGTACATCATACTTTTCCTTTAATGATGGAGTAGTGCCGGTCATGTATTAACTGCTTTCAAAGGAGAAGTTTTGAATTGAAATAACATAAGTTCTGGTTTGTATTAGAAGTTTGTATATAGTTAACCAGGGACTCCTACCCCTAAAGTTTTCATATCTGGTCTTGACTTTCATCTATCTAACTGTTCTTGAGATTAAGGATAGATGGCAGAATAGTCAGAATTTATAGGTCTACATTTTTTTCAAATTGCAGTTGAATGGATAAGCTAGTGTGAATATTAATAGAATACTATACATACATAAATAAGGTGAAAGAATTTTTTTGGTGGAATCATAGAAGCAACATAAATTATTTTTGTATTAAAGTTTTTTGCTTTTTTCAAATCTTGTAGTTCCTCATTGGATTAATTTTACTGTAACAGTGCTGGAAAAAATGAGAAAAGAGAAGTTATCTCATATTTAATACTAAGAGGTCATCTGGGGACTTTATATTCATACTCCAGTGTACTTAAAAGGAAAAATCTTGTTTTCAGCATCATGTTTAGAAATGCTTGTGAAAAATATGTTTAATATAGAGTGAATAAAGTGTTTAATAGTCCTGAAAGATATTGAATTATAGATTGCCACTATATAGGCTTATAGCAAATAAAACTGATTTATGTGAATAAAAAGTTAATCATTTTCTGTAAAACGTTTTTAGATGTTCTTAATAATGGAACCAATTATGAGGAAAGGAATTTTCAACACTATTAACTTTTCCTTATTAAAAACTTGTTTTCAGAAGGAAGGTATAATTTTTGAATTCAGAAATTTTGAGTTATACTTTGAATATTTTTTTTTATATATAATGGAAGCAACAGTTTAAATGCTTCCAATTGATGCTTCCTACTCTTGTTTCCATATGTTAACAAGAATACAGGAAGATGAACATCAATGAGTTAAAACTTAAATTGAATATTACATTTTTCATATCAAAGTTAGATAGATTTTTATACTTACAATAGGTTAATGTCTTGTTAAAATTTAAATT